TGGTTAGCGCTCGCTGTAAGCTTCACAGTACTCGAGCAACCCGGGTTCGATCCCCGCCGGCACCAATGAAATTGTTAATTGCAATTTTAAGTGCTGATTTACCACGTGCTCGGCGGTGAAGGAAAAAATCGTGAGGAAACCTGCATGTTTGAGAAATAAAAAATAATATTTCGATGACATGTGAAGTTCGCCAACACGTATTGGGGCAGCGCGGTGGACATTTCCTTGCCCTAAAACCCTCTCAGAAATGAGAGGAGGCCTGTACCCAGCAGTGGGACGTAAATAGGCTGCAACTTTACTTTACTTAAAACTGAAAAAAAAGTTATTTGGTATTAGAGTGATTCTGGCTATAAAACAATATCACCATCACGACATTTATTGCAATTTTGCTACTTTTAGTTTTGGTCGAGTTTTGTTGTTGAATAATTAAATATTTCAATACCTCTGTATATATATCTTACAGGCTTGCAGCTTCGTCAGGCTCATGGACATAAATTATTACAGTGAGTCTCAATACGATTCACCTGCGAAAAATCTTAACACCGCAATTCAGAAAAGGTTGTAATTTGTACAACGCCATCTATTACGTTCTTTGTGAGAAAACATCCTTTTTTAATTTAAGGAAAACATATTTTTACTGTGTTTTAAGTACTATAATAGAACGATACGAAATATATTATAATAGAACGTTTTTTTTACACACGAATCTTTTTATTACTATTTTTGGAATTTTGTGGCGCCATTAAACAAATTCGAACCTACATTTCAAAATAATAATCATGACTTTCGATAGAATTAACCAATTTCAATAAAACAAAGATTAAATGAACTTGATAATACGCTTTATGATTTTCTTAAGGATTTCATTGAAAAAAAAAGATGTTTACTCAAAACGTCATGCGTCCATAAACAAACAGACAGACCGTCAGATAGTTCAATTCTAAAAATTATAAAAATGTAGGTACTTATTTAATGATTTACAGTCCCAATAATGATTTTAGTCGCAAATTAATATACTATACAATATTCAGAAACAGACATAACATGTTATTACCATTTTTATTATATGTATAGACTTAAGAGAGATGGCGCTGTTAACATCAATTCTAAAAATAAGAGATTAATTCACACGATTGATACAATAAAAAACATAAAAGAACTTATAAATCAGTGCCTGCATAGTAAGCAAAAAAGAAAGTTTGATCCTCGCCGAAAAATGAAATTGTTAATAGCTCTTAAAATTTGATTTACCACATAGAGTACTCGGCGGTAAAAAAATTAAAAATAAATGAGATTGTCAACACGCAGTAGGGCAGCGTGTCATTAATATAAAGGTTAGAAGCAAATATGAAACTCAACTACAGGAATAAATTTTAACCTGCCTTTTTGTATCACATTTATGCCACACCACCATCTATCGAAGAAATGGGTTAACTATTGTGCTTCAGATTTAGTTAATAAGGTTAATATATTTTTGTATAATATATTTAATAAGTTCTTTAATACTTTTGTTTACTGCGTTTTAGATATACATAATTATATCATTATTTTACATAATTTAACTATGATTTATGATATGATATTAGTTTAAAATGCACTTGATGACTCAAACAAAGCCACCGTTGAGCAAATTCGTACCTATACTTCCCTACCCATACTTCAGAATATTTATCATAACTTTTGATGGAATGAACTGATTTTAATGAAATAAAGACTAAATGTAACCCGAAGATACACTTTATAATTTCCTTAACAATTCTTATGATATAAATTAGTACTTTATACGTGATACGTTAACAAACAAACAGACAGACAGACAGACAGACAGACAGACAGAAAATTCTAAAAATGGTAGAAATGTATTTAATTACTTATTTTTAGTACCCCTCAATCACTTTTATTACAAAAATATAAAATGTACAGACATCTGCTATTTACAGTTTTATTATATGTATAGATTTGAATAATTCAGAAGGCTTGAACGCATCGATAACCTAAAAATATATCATTATGGTGTATCAAATTTAACTGTCAAGTGTCAACTGTAATGTCGCAGTTGTCTTTGGTATTGGTGTTGTTGTTGGTTGTATGTTTCTTTGTCGGTTTTTTTAAAAAAAAATCCGATGATTGGTCTTAAATACGATCTAATGGACGTTTAGAACAATGTCATTGGTTCTACCTATATAAAACTAAAAAAAAAACTTGCGGGAATATATTTGACAACAATCGCTACATCAACACCATCTGAGCGGTTATCTACCGACTTCAAAAAGGAGGAGGTACTCAATTCAACTGTATGTTCTTTTTTTAATGTGTTACCTCATAACTTTTTTTCTGGGTGAACCGATTTCGATGATTCTTTTTTTTATTTGTTTTATTTTGCTTCGTCATGTGGACCCATATAAGTCTGACCAATAGTTTTTGAGTTATCCTTAATAATTTATATTGAAGTCAGTTAAACAAAATTTTTATTTTTAAATTATTTTCAATGGCTGGCTCACCTATTTATCAATAGAGAAACAGATTGAAAGGTACTTCTTTGTCAAAATTACTATTTCTTCAATCAATCTGCAAATTATTGGACTATATAACAAATGAACTAGATATTTGTGAACTCTTCCATTTTTTTTTAATTACTGTTTTACACTAAATTGCTCTTTAATTTCTTATATTTCATTAGTTATAAACCATAAACAACATGACAATTTTTTTAGTCATCTAATTCTAACCTAAATAATAAATACATATGCAAAAACCATCAATAATGGCCAACATCGATGTTTAGAGTAGGATATAGCGATGAGCGTTGAATCAACGAACTAGTTGAATCAACCGTTGATCTCGTGTCAACGTATTAACGTTAACCGTTTATGAACTAGTTGAATTCGTCAACGACGTTTATGAATTTAACTCGTGCGTCTCGTTAACGCAACGTACTGAGCAAATTATAAATTTACGTTGAAAATACCGTCATAGATTGCGAGTGATGGTCATGTCATACAATTTGAATTCTAAGGAACCTTCAAAAGAGTTTACTTTCGAAATATTTATTTTAAGAATAGTACTTATGACGATATTGTTGGAATGGCGCGCCCCGCTCGTGCCATCCGAGAGAAATAGGTTAATTCTAGTTTGTTTGTTTACCTTTACGAACGATATGAATTTTGCTTTCTTTAATTTTTGATTGACAGTTTGTGACAATTTGCGCGTGATGTTTAGAGTTTAGACTTTTTAGTTAATGTTTATAGTAACAGTGTAAATTTGTTTGTGTTAATATAATATAACAGACGGCTCCATGGCGCAGTGGCTTAGCAATCAGTTGTTGCGCTGGGGGCTGCCGGTTCGAATCCCGCACGGAACAATTATTTGTAAGGCCTACAATTGTGCAATTTATGTTTGTAAACTGCCTCCACGACACAGGAGAAAATCCTAGTGTGGGGGTAACGTTTTTTAAAAACAGAAATAAATGTTTTTTTAATAAAATAGGACTACTCAAGGTACAAAATTGAAAATGTCGGGACGTACTGGCGTAACAGTGAATTGTGACTGCATTTCGAAAAAGAAAACAAAAAAATCTTAAAAAAAAAGACTATAAAAAAACATTGTAAATAATTGATTTGCGCAAATAGAATCAGATGATCTTTTAAATACGCCTGAGTAGAATATGGTTTATTTATAGCTAATTGTATTCAATCAGTCCTAAGCCTAAAGAAAAAGTATAAAGGGAAGGTTATCTAGGTAGAACCATTAATCAAACGTTTTCCAATACATACATTGAATCAAATTGTTTTTAAAAGCGTAGCGTTGAATTAAAACCGTCCAACTAATTAACGGTTTATGTTGCAAGTTGACATTAGTAGTACGTTAACTCATTGACGAATTCAACTAGTTGATTAACTAGTTGACAAACGTGAATCAACGTTAACGGAAAAACCGTCAACGACACATCGCTGGTAGGATAAACATCGAAAATCGATGTTGAGTTATCGATGTCAATGTCATCATCATTTTTTCTACAACATCGACCATCCCTAATATGACGTTGTTACAACAGACAGCAGACACTTCAATTTTATTTAATTGTATTTCATATAGATTAATAATCGACCATCCTTTTATATAGATTAATAATTATGTATATTAATTTTATATAGATTAATAATTCGATATAAGCAGGATCAGTAATTTCACTGCACTGCTTTTCAAAAAACAAATAGTCCAACTACGCACTGGAGCAGCGTGGTATGGTAAACATTAAATTTTCTTACTTACCATAACAAGGGCGAACACTCAACACCGCGATGTAATTTCGTTTAGCGACATCTAGCGACAAATCATGTAGTTAATTGTGTTTAAGACTCGTATGTGACTATTGAAATACTTTTAAACTGAGTGGTACACACTTGTTACGCATACATTTAACTCATCTTCAATATACCGCCATTTGTTAACAATACTTTTGCTTAGGGTGTCTCTTGCCGCCTCTGCCACTTAATCTAATGAAATTATTTTTTTTGGTATTTCATGTCATGTCAGGCAGAAACCCTAGCATTCACATAATTATAATTAAATTTTATGAGATATATCGAAATTAATCTCTAAATTCTATATTAAATTCTGGACATTGCTCTTATTTAGACGAGTTTTCTTTAATCAGTCCGTAAAATAAGAACGTAGTACACTGTTTCATATGCTTGGATTTGCGGAATCGCCACGCTAGAGGGTTAGCGTTCATAGTACCAACCATCCAGCACCTTTGACTATTCCTCTTATAACCGGTTTATATATTTCAGTGGTTTGTCCCCTCACAACAAAAACGTTTAAAATTAATGTAGCCAATTTTCCACGGATAACTTGATTATAGGCCAGGAGAATGTCATTGTAAATTACGCATATACCAAAATTTGACCAGAAAGACATCGCGTCAATTAATTTTATAGTTCATTTTATAATTTATATTTTATTAATCCATTTTAACAATATTGTTTCATTCTTTACAGTATGGATTAGGCAATGGTGAGGAAGAGGAAGGCAGCGGATTCCTGCACCAGCGTAACGTGACTGCACACGCAAAACTCATGGCGTCCACGTAGCAACAAAACACAACACCCCAGGATATGACTCGGAAGACCCAAATTCCATGCCTCTCTGTCTACGAGTAGTACTTGCATGGAAGATGGACTGACCACAGATTATACATCGGTTGTTCATTGAGAAATCATAAATAAATACCTTGGCATGCTTATGGCCTTGGTAAAGTCACCAATTAATGGTAATTGTGAATCACTCTATATGTGGAATACTATTATGTAACGATAAAATCTTAGACACATTTTATGTTCTCACTAATGAGGGCATCCACGACGTTTTCCGCCACCAGGTCGGCGCCATTTAGGAATGAGGTGCAATATTTGACAGATTTCATGGCAGGGGAAGTTAATTTATTAGAAAATTGTAGAGATTAATGTTTCTTTCTGAAATATTTGCTATATTTGATATTAATTAGTTTAGAAATGTATAAACCAAACTACGGATATTCCTATATAGTACAAGACTTAAAAAAAAAGTTAAAATATATAGAAAACTAACCGTAAAACTTATAGCAACTTTTCAATGATGACTCTCTGCGACTGACATCTGTGATCTGTGTAACAAATATGTTCACCTTAGTCCCAACTAGCGACATCTGGTGAGTGTAACATTATTAGCTCTCATTGTCAACGTGCAACGGACACAGATTATATAATTATACTGTAGAAATAAATTTGAAGACTGGTGATTACGCCAGGTCTAGATTAGTTTGTTATATTGTGCTGTTTTAGCTATCATGGAATTAGTACTTATTTGTAAATATTTAAGTAAATATTCGACTGAATAGGTTGTCATTTGTGTACTTGTACATGATATAAATAGTTAGATGTAATGATTAGCTTCCAATAACAACTAGTGAATGCAAGTATTACAAATTTCATAGCCAAGTTCCTCCGACTATCACACTAGTCTAATAATTCCTTTTTAATGTTTAAAATGTTACAATAATGCAATATTATCGTAACACTCACTAATATTACTAGTTTGTAACGTTTAGTTAATGTTACAACAAATTCATGTCATTTTGTAACATAAATATTTAGTTACTCGACTAATATTTAAGTCTGTAACATTTATATGGTTGAAAATACTACATCCGGAGTATAACAATAGTTGATAGATTAAGTTGTTTTATTTCTATCGGACATGCAACACCATCAACTATTTTTTTTGCATTGTAGAAGTAAGTCATGGAAAATATTAACGCAGTTTGACATAGGGGTTCAATATAACGATTAGTTAATAAGTATGAACAGTATTCAAAAACGTTGGAATCTTCATTTTTAGGTGCTAGTAGAACATACTTACGCGCTTTGCGCTTAAGGCATGCAATATGTTAATTGTTCGTAATATTCTCTACTAACTAACGGCAGATACTTCTATTTAAGAAATGTTTCGTTCTGTTACGATTTGTTTTATGTTTTTAAAACTAACTATTCGTTCGATAGCTTACAAATTAAAATAAAACAACTTTAAAGCCGTCATAAATTGTCGAACCAGATTTCGTTTCATAAATTATAAATTGTTTCAAGCCAGAGACGACAAAGGTTTTTGTAATGTAGAAATCAGGCATAATTCTTGCAATTAGTTGAATGGTACGTAACTACCATGAGATCTGTAACTTTTTAATGTAGTTTTAATATCCTCCCACTCACATACTGAGTAGGAATATAAGTAAAATAAACGGCATTTATAATTAGGTGTAAATAGTAGTACTTATGTAAAGAGCGGAGAGAAATGATATTCAGGTGTTAAACAATCAACAAATATATTTGGTATAACTCTTGCACATTAAAATATTTTTACATTATCTAAATATATACAAATAAATTTTATTTGTAACAGTTATTGCCTTTCAATTATTGTATTTCACATTAGCCTTGACACAACAGTGCTATCGTCAGCTACACAAAGATCCATCTTTTATGGTGTGGTGTGGTAGCACAGGATTTTATTTGAAAGGCAAGGCTGAATTATAATTGAACTTTATATTGTTTTATAAAAGTGTTAGAATTTACTGCTTTGCTTACATTGCAATTTTTTTTTGTTATGTATAATGAATTGTATATTTCCAGAAAGATAATTTTGTTCGTCCTTTTTAGTGATGTAACAATAAAAAAATGTGTACAAAAGTTGTGTAGTAATACGAAATACATATCTAAACACTATGCGTCATTTTTGATTGGATAGTGATGTGAGAGCGTCTCCATACAGCCGGTAGTAGCACCACTCTTGACTGGCCGTCAAGTTCTCCGCGCCCATCGCTTCGTAGAAGGAGCGAGCTTCGTTCCACGCTAGAACATGGAAATCTAGTCTCGTACATCCAGTGGCCGCAGCTTCCTGAAATTTGTAGAGCCAGTGTTAATGTTTGTGTTTGTCATAATTTAATTATAAGACTGTTATTTTATTCATTTTACGAGTAGATTTGAATTAAGCAAAAAACTATTTTATTCTTTGAATATTATTTTACATTTGCAGTCTATTAAATAAAATTGAAGTGTCTGTCTGTAATAACAAAATAACTGCTTTTATCAGTTTTGTTTGTCTGTCTGTTCGGGCTGAACTTCGGAATGGCTGTACAGATTGTGATCATACTTTACGAACAGATAGAGGGCAAGACCATGGGGGATCAAAGCTATATTTTAACTGAAAACCTTTTTTCAATTTTTATTTGATAATATCGTAAAATTGATAAAATAAATGGTCTTTGATTACATATTAAATCTGAATAATTGCACATTATTCCCATCGAGGCGGCACCGAGGCAGGTCGCCAGATACAAATATGTTTAAACACGGCACAATAATTATTCTAGTACCTTACCTACTTCTCAAAAACTTAAATTGTTATACAGACCTACTCTCCACGGTAGTGCTAATCACTGGCTGCATTTCCTCTGAATGGCTATATTTAGTATTTGGGCGAAAAAATAAAAAGCCTTCTTATCACCATCGGCGTGGACCCTACGGACCGAGTCTCTACAGCAAATGACACAAATATTTAATCATCTGTAAGAGACACATACTTGGGCAACTTACTTAGTTGCACCGCCTCCGATGCCACCGCGGCTATAAACGAGATATACCTGAGATGAGAGACTGCCAAAGTGTCTATGCACGTAACATCCCACACTTGAGCTTAATCTCTTTACCAAGGGACCAAAGTCATACCGTCTGGTATTCTGCAATGGCATGAAAATTCCACAGGCTGTCAACATGGGACCACGGGACCATTTATAAAGTTCTTTAGGAACCACACCGCACCCACGATCCCACGACCTAGGGCCCAACAAACTAATAATTCTAGATGAAATATCTAATATTAGTTTGAACTTGATATATACATAATTCTTGTGTAGTTTGTTTAGCTTCTTAGTGTACATTCTAGAAGGCATCACCACTAAACATCACAAATATACCACACAAATGTACAAACAACTTCATTATAAAAATAAAATGAAAACAGCATCAATTCTAAAGACTAATTTTAATTACTAATTTATTTTTACTGCACTACCTTCCATATATTTAACTCTGCTTAGCCTAATGATTGACTGGGAGAGAATGCATTAAGGCATTAAGTCCGCCATAATATGTACGATTTTATTTTTTGTACATATAAGTTTAAGATGATTTATTTGTTAGAATATGGTGCATAAAAGTTGTTACAGATTAATTCGGATCCTAAATATTGTGCCGTTTTCGGCGTACAAATATTTTCAGACAGATTATGTTAGAATATTAGATAATTAATATATTAAATAGTTAAAATAAATAAAAACCGGCAAAGTGCGAGTCGGACTCGCGCACCGAGGGTTCCGAACAAATCTGTAGGTATATAAGTTTAAAATTATTAAAAATATATATTTTGTATAATGTAGCTAAAAATTCATGCTTTTCGTAATTTTTCCGTTATCGGAGCTATAAAACGTTGCTTTGTACCAAATTTCAAGATTCTGAGTTCACGGGAAGTACCCTGTAGGTTTTGATTCCCTTGCGATTGTCGAAAATTTGCGGCATAAACGGCTGTATCTTTTGATTGCGTTGGCTTAGAAGTTTGATTTTTTTCACAGCTCTAAGGGGTCGTAGACTTGAATATTTGATATGAATTTCAGCTTGATACCTCCACGCGTTCCTGAGAAAAAGGGTCTTGACAGACAGACAGACGGAAAACAAAGTGATCCTACAAGGGTTCCGTTTTTCCTTTTGAGGTACGGAAAGCTAAAAATGTAGTCGCAGTCAATTGAATACGCATTATTAAGGATAACTCAAACACTACTGGTCAAATCTTGATCAAATTTGTATGGGAGCACATTTCAAATAAAAATAATTATCAAAATCGGTTCACCTAGGAAAGTTCTGAGGTAACACACATAAAAAAAATACATTCGAATTGACTACCTCCTCCTTTTTTTGAAATTGGTTAAGAAATAGAGTGTAATAGGTGAATGAAGTAGAAGCCTAGCTATCATATAGATATTTTTCAAATTTGATTTTTCATTCACATTTCACAATTTTCATCAAATTGATCTAGCTACACATTTTCTAGCAGCCAGTTCAAGGTCAAGGCTGTTACAAATTCATTGATACGATATGCCACGTGTACAGTAGCAGGTACATGATTTGAATTTTGTTATTTTAATAGCTATTTCTATAAATATATACACATTTATCTTCTTACATTAATCCATTAAACAAATTCACGACATACATATTATTCAGACAAAGGCCTTGTTTTAGAAATTTTATGCATATGTGTATGTGGTAGGGACATGCTGCAGCTAAATTATGGTTATAACACAAACTGGTTGGCTCGACCAGGGAAGGACCACACTCTTAAATGGGGAGGAGTTGAGTCTTGTGGATACCACTGTTTTTCTCGGTATTACTATTGACGCGAAACTTCAATGGGGCCCCCATATATCTAAATTAGCAAGCAGACTTAGTTCTGCAGCATATGCTGTAAGAAAGATTAGAAGTCTCACAGATGTTGAGACAGCTAGGTTAGTGTATTTTAGTTACTTTCATAGCGTAATGTCTTATGGAATTTTGCTATGGGGTAATGCGACTGATATTGAAGCTATATTTGTTTTGCAAAAGAGAGCCGTACGGGCGATTTATAATCTAAATTGTAAAGAGTCCCTTAGAGAAAAATTTAAAGAAATAAACATATTAACTTTGGCATCGCAATATATTTATGAAAATGTAATGTATGTACATAAAAACATAAATAGCTTTAATAAGAATAAGGATGTTCATACCTTAAACACTAGGAACAAACATAAGCTTGTAATGCCACTTACAAGACTCCACAGAATTAGTAATTCATTTATGGGGCAATGTATACGCTTTTACAACAGAATCCCAGAACATGTTCAAAGTTTGTCAATAAACAAGTTTAAAAGTTTTATTAAAGAAAAACTGTACAAAAAGGGTTATTATAATATCAAGGAATACATGAGTGAAAATAACCCCTGGGAATAAGGTGATCGCCACCATGCTGGTTCTATGAAAATTCATTTAAAATTGTATAATCAAAATTATTGTTAAGTGAAATTATGTTTAAAAAAAAAAGTCCCGCTGGGTTTCTTGCTGGTTCTTCCCAGGACAGGAGGTATTTTCCGAACCAGTGGTAAATAAAATAATGACTTTCAATAAGTATTATGTAATAATCCATATTGAATAAAAATCATTCTATTCTATTCTATTCTATTCTCACAGAATACCAGCGTAAAATAGTAACTCAATACTGCTGTTTCGTGTGGTGCGTGTAGAGAACTGGAGACCCTTTTTACTGGAAATAAGGCATTCCATCTTAATCCTCAGGGGCGACAACACATCTGCATTTTGATTCTAAACCGAGGATACATATGAATGTCTATGAACCACAGCATTCACTTACCATCAGGTGGACTGTGTGCTCTTTGTCACACTTACTCTATTATATAAAAAGAAAATTCAGAAGTTAATTGTTGAATGTGGAGTAATTACTGAGCACGCTCTTCAGAATACACCCTAAAGAACATCGAGAGGATAACAAGTCTGCACCTGGCCTTAAGGCCGACAAGAAAGGTTTTAAACAAATCAGTCACCAATAAGCCTTTTAGCATGCCTCTTTACTGAGTGCTACTAAGTGATATTATGCAGTATATATGTGTGTGTGTGTGTAGGTTGAGCAGCTTTCCTAGCATGAAGTTCTGTCAAGTAATCTACTTCCCTTTAATATGGTTGAGGCAAGCAATGAATGCCACATGCATTATACTTGTGAGCAGATACTGCTTACTTGCATTTCTAAGATTTCTTTTCTATTATTATTGTTTTCCATTCTATATATATATATTGCATCTGCTGTCTATCAAAAGTCGACTGGTCATAGGGGATAATTGCCATAATTGCCACACCAACAGGTTGCCATCTACTAAATTAATTTTTTAGTTGTTACTAGCCGTTCCTCGCGACTTCGCCCACGTGTTATTTGGAGTTTTAATTTTTTGCACGGAACCCTAATTCTTTTTCTAAAATAAAAGTAGCCTAAGTTACTCCTTGTGACGTCAGCTACCTGCCAGTGAAAATCCCATCAAAATTGGTCCAGCCGTTTCGGAGATTAGCCGGAACAAACAGACAGACAGACGGACAGACAGACAAAAACTTTAAAAATTGTATTTTTGTTATATACTTTCATATGCATTTAGTAAAAAGATGTAATATTGACATTACAAACAGACACTTCAATTTTATTTATTTGTATAGATTAAGAAAATGCTGCTGCCCATCTCCTGATTTATTTCCCTCTGTCGAATCTTACGGCACTCACAGGATAATATGGGCTAGTGCATATTCTTACACCCCACTATACGCCACTCCAACCGACACAGAATACCAGTGCAAGACAGCAACTTAAAGTTGATGTTTTCATATGGTAAATGTAGAAGATCTAGAGACCCTTTTTATTGAAAATGATGCATTCCATCTTAGCCCTCAGGGGTGACAATACATCTGCATTTTGATTCCTAATCAAGGATAAATATAATGTTATGTGCCACAGCATCCACTTATCATCAAATAGACTCTGTGCTCAATTGTCACTCTTAATCAGTTTAAAAAAATGGAATGAGGTTAAAACTCCCTACAATGGGAGAGACACATGTTCATTAGTGAAGTTTTACAGACTGATGAAGAAGAAAAAAAATTAAAATAACTAATGCCCATGCTTTAGATTATATTGTCTGTGGTCATATAAAATCTACACAGTTGAGTTTTCAACAGTGTGTAGAAGTTTAACTGTGATTGATATTATTTCAAAACAAGAGTGCATAGGCTTTGGTTACGCTAATACAGTGTGACTTTAGAGGATTTTTAATTGCGATTTTAACTGACCCATTTTTGAGCTACAATTAGTATCGGTTAAACTTTCCAATATGGACCATCGATTTAAATGCCCATATTTTTTTTTGTAGATAGTACTCACTAAAAAAAAGCGTTTTGCAAAGTTTCAATATGAGAAACAAATTATTGAAAATTGATTCCTACGGTAAAACTGATGCTATTTTGTATTGTCATTGTCATCGTCAGTAGGGATGTCGATTCTTTCCGAAAAAGATCGATTTTATAAATCGATTCGAATCGTAAGCTGATGTATCGATTCACAAAAAAATTTATTTCTAAAATTTCGATACTTTTTCATGTTTGCATTTATAATGGAAATATAAATCCATTTAATGAAAAACCAGAAAGATACCATAGTAAATAATCTCTTATTGAAATTTGTTTTATTTTAATTTATTGTCATTACAATTATTAAATGACAAACACGAAAAAATATCAATATTTGAGAAATCAATTTTTTTGTGAATCGAGCTTACGATTTGAATCGATTTAAAAATCGATTTTTTTCAGAAAGAATCGACATCCCTACCGACGACAATGACAATACAAAATAGTGTCAGTTTTACTGTAGGAATTGACATAAATATTGCAAAAATAATTGATTTTCAATCATTTTTTTCTCAAAACGTACACGTTTCCACATATTGAAACTTTGCAAAACACTTTCTTTTAGTGAGTACTATCTACAAAAATAAATATGGTCATTAAAATCGATGGTCCATATTGGAAAGTTTATCCTTAGTATCTCTTGAGATGCCTATTGTAAATAATTTTTCAAGCTTAAGAATGGTCTAAATTTAAAGATTGAGGATGTGGTAGATTTTTAAATGCAACCTTACCGCAGCAACGTTGTAGAAGAGCATCTGACCAACTCCCCGTCGACGAAAGTTTTCTCGAACATACAGATCTTCTAACATCAGGGCTTTCCCCTCCCAAGTTGAATATGTATTGAAGTATAGGGCAAAGCCTACAACTTCCGATTTCAACTCAGCCACCTTACAACGAAAGGCTGGTGGTTGTGTTTCAAAGCCATCACGTTGAAGATCTGAAGATAAAAAAAATTAAAAACAAAACTTTACTAGAAACAAAATAAAATATCGGATAAAATACTTTCATTTGCATACCCTTAACGGTCAACTTTGGACCATCAGGCATCTTCTCAAAGTTAGCTAACTCCTGAAATAATTAGAACAAAAATTCAAACTTCAAACAAAAATAATAGACATGAAAACTCGTTTATTATGAGTTTGCCGGCTCGTTACCTGAATCATATCAGCCACCGCTATCATATCATTTATGGTAGCATCACGTACAATCACTTCACTATTTTGGAACTTTTTATTCATTTTGATAAATTTTTTAAAATAAATTGTCTTCACAATAGGGAAATTTTTAATTTGTTTGACTGTTAAATTAAAGTGTTAAACTGTTTGTGTTTGACATAGATCATAGACACTCAAATATTTTTATTATAGTTAAGGTTTTGGCTTGGATGCTTGTCTTTTTAGCCATGTCTTCATTAATTTATCTCAGTAACAGTCAACATATTCCTTTATAGTATAGGCCACTACATATTTATTTATCTATGGTATAGACTGCTTCACAATATGCAACATATTGTGTAGTTTTTGGGAGATGGTAATTTAAACCAGCAAACATGTAGCAATAGTGTATCAACGCGCTTAAGCAAACATACACCTTGTCTTGAGATTCACATCACGTCGGAGCACTTGTTTCACCGTTTCCACTAATAGTTCATAATATGCGCAAACATTTAATACACAAATTCGCACCACTTTTACATATCAAAACCCATTATTTAAACAATAATACAGGAGCAGTAATCCGCTGTCGGTCAAGGTCCTGCCAAAACTTCCGTAATAACAATAATGAAATGTCTTACAGACCGAATTTCGGTCACGGCGGCCAGTTCCAATGACGACTAGCCATTTGTGGAGGATGAGATTACTGTGCCCGAGTGTATGCGTAAGCACAGCTACACTCTCTATTCATTCATTCTCATAGTCCGTGGGACGGCAATCCGACTTGATCGGAGAGAGATCAGGCGCAAGACCAACGGCTTTACTTGCTTTCCGAGGCACAGGGGTGTTACACCGCCAATTTCCTTACTCCGGGTCGCTGTTGAAACGTTCTTGAGAGAAAAACTCTATATCAGATTTAGTCGGGAGTTCCATAGCACAGGGTTTTCTAGTTTGGGCTCCCGTCTTTCACAAATTTATGTACTTATTTGTAAACTTAAAAAAAAAATGTTTGTAACAGATAAGTTATGTAATGTATTATTTGTATGAGAATTCAATAAAGATAATTATGTTATTAATCTAAGTCAAACAGTTAATAGTCTATGTTCAAACAATCGCAAAGAGTGGAGATTGTGGCCAAAGTATTTTAAGTATTGTTAACAAATAATTACTGATAGATTGACTGACTGAATAAGCCAGGAACTACAACTTCAGCAGATTTGACAGCATACATGCAACTGAACAGACTGATCTACAAATGCATGCGGTGGTACTTATGGCACTTCAATACAGCTCGTATTAAAGAAGCGATCGAGCGGAACCAGGGCTCCAAAGTCATTACGAGAGATCCGCCTGTAAGGAAGAGCCAACTGTCGACGCTGAAGACCGAATGTGGCACCCGGGACACCTGAGAGTTTGTGCGAGATTGAGGTTATATGGGCATCTGTACATTTCATCGTTGATGCCACACGCAAGTGTGAGTAACGGTCCAAGAGCAAGTCTTATCTGACACTATTCCGGCGATATCCCTGACGCCAGTCTAAGCGAGATTAGAATGGCCTTCCAACACCTTAAAAACGGCAAGTCCACAAGTTCTCGGGCGGGGATGGAATTACAGAGCATTTTCTGAAAGCGGGTGGGAAACCGGTACTTGGTCTTGTTCTTCAAGAAAGGTGATAACGCTCTCTCGAAGAACTATAGACCGATTTCATCTCTGAGCTGCGTCTACGTGCTGTTTTCAAGTCATTACGTATTGTCTCGCATGTAGAGTCGATGACTTCCAGCCTCCCGAACAAGCCGATCTCTGAAAAGGTTTTAGCCATATACATACACCACATACATACTATAGACCACATACATACCATTCAGCAAATTGTAAAGAAGACTGAAGAGTACAATCTGCCACTTTGTCTTGTGTATGTGGACTATGAGAAAGCCTTTGATTCCGTCGAAACTTGGGCGGTGCTGCAGTCCCTCCAGTGGTGCCAAGTGGACTGTCGGTATATCAAAGTGCTGAAGTGTTTTTACAGTAGGGCTACGATGGCTATTCAAATAGAGAACCAGAGTACGAAACCTATCCAACTGCAGAGAGGTGTAAGACAGGGTGACGTTATATCCCCGAAACATTGTTGCATGTCTTATAGCTATACTCGTTACATTTGTAGATTGCGAATACGTGTTATTTTTATATTGCGTGCTCGTGTCGTGTGAACAATTGTATGATTGTAGCTGTTTACAGATTTTCAACGTTGATATTGCGGTATGTGAATCTGTCTGTGTATTTTCTCTTTTACTCCTCCTTTACTTTACTATTACTCTCCTTTGACAGAAAATCTTTGTTTTGAGACGTATAGTCCCGAGTACTGTTTCATGAATTTGTGGTGAAGAAGGGTTCTATATGTGGTTAAATCAGTGTTTCTAACTTCGTGATATAGTAATACGTGCTCATGATAAATGTATTAACTTCAGATGTTCATTTCATGCGCATTACAGGCTTTCCTGCTTTAGTGGTCGCAGGTAAAAAGCCTGAGCGGCCTCCCGCGCAACATCAGAGGCAGGGATTACGGGTTCTCTGTTATCTTTATTTACTAGTGTAAGTGAGGGTGTATTAGAATCAGTAGGTTACATGGTTGTAATCTAGAAGGAGATATGGTTTCGGGTACCTAAGTTTAAATGTGTTTGTTTGGCTGTAGCATTTTCGGGTGCCCCAGTGGGAGTCCGCCTACACAATTCCTCACCGCCGACGGCTCATACACTGCCACATCCAGCATCAGCTCCCGGTGTACCCTGGCGATATACCCGGGTAACGGCATTAAACGTTTACTCTTTGATCGTGTCTCCATGCTTTCAATGAGTTACCTTTGCCACGTTGCTTGTGTAGTGTTGCCCTCCCCCCACGTGTTCAGATGTTCGGAACAGAACGTGTGGTTGGATTTTAGGGGGCTTATTATTATTATTATTATACAAGATATATGGAGGTCAGTAAGTCTATGGACTTATTCATAAAAAACATTTTGTTTAATTTCCTTTTAACAATAATAAACTAAATGAATACTTACAACATTATCGTTATAACGACTAATAAACTATCTAGGTTATGAAAACGAAGGAATAGAAAATGGGTATTAGAATACCCATTTTGTTATTTCTCGAACACGTCATTTAATAGAATTTGTAGTAAACCGAATTAAACGGAATTCTACATACTGCATTGAGTAGGGCTTGGATCTATTTACGCAAAGAGGTGGCTTGGTCGGGAATTAGAAATAAGTAAATAAATTAAACGCAATAAATCTGTAGAATTAGTTTTATTCAATGTCAAGTATCGTGTAAACATAAGAATCATTAATTACACGTAAGAAGTTGAATGTTGAAATGTATGACGCTGCGGTTATTCTCGTTGGGCGGCGAGGCGCAGTTCTTCGGTGCCGAGGCGGTAGTACCGCCAGTGTTCCGCGGTCATGTCCGCCGCTCCACGCGCCTCGTAGAACGAACGCGCCGGGTTCCAGTCCAGCACGTGCAGCTCCAATCTCGCACAGCCCTGCTCCAGTGCTTCCTGTAATACAAGCACATTCCATTCCATTCCGGTCTATTAAAGTCCATGCAACGCGGATGTGCCGTAATAAACTGGTTGCATTCAATAAGAAATCATTATTTAATTCCTTTTAGTGCTTTCGTGTCCATCAATCCATCCATTACAACCTATAAAAGTCCACTGCTGAACACAGGCCTCCCCCATAAAATGCCTTGGGTTTTTTCTTTGGTTGTCACGCTTGGGGCCCACGTGGGGTGGGCAACAGCAATTATTTATGATTTTAAGTGTTTTCTTTTATAGAATAAAGGTGACAAGCGAATACACAGTCTACCTGATGGTAAATGGATGCTGTACCCCATATACATCTACATTTATCCTCAATTAAGAATCAAAATGCAGATGCGTTGTTACTCCTGAGGACTAAGATGGAATGCCTCGTTTCCAGTTAATAAGGTTTCCGGTTCTCTAAACTCACCATACGAAACATAGCAGCATAGAGTTGCTATTTTACGCTAGTATTCTGTGAGAGCGTGGTCCTATCCCGGTCGAGCACATTGCATTCGGGCTACAGCCATAATACATATAATCGCAACTTGGTTCTACCACGTATAATTACCAACAGTTATCATTTTTTAGTTATTTATTGACTCCAACAAGATATAAGCTTTATAAATTGTAAAACAAAACATGTAAAGAATTCCCGACATTTCGGGGGGACTGAGGTGTTTGACTTGCTGATGTCGTAGTTAATGAAGACCGGAGGCCTTCAACTTTTAATTATTAATTTTTTGTATGATCGGAATGATGAGCAGAACGAGCTTACTGTTTTTGACGGAAGTTTTGCAATAGTACGCTTGGGTTTGAATTAAATTTTATTAATTATGGGATCACCAGCAGATGGTAGCACCCAGCCATCTTCTCTATTGATATCAGGATGTTTTTTTTAAATATCTATATTCTCGCGAATCATTCTCAGTAGGAATCGGTGTTCTTTTGCGATGAATTGTGGTCTATCAAATCTAATATAATGGTTGGACAATTTTAAATGTATTGATATACTGCGGACTCCCCGGAGCCGTGGTGCTCAACATCAGCGATATGTTCTTTTATGTGGGTTTTTATGGATATTTTTGTTTGTCCCGTATAAGAGAGACCACATTTACAATCAAGTTTGTACGAGTACACTCCTGCTGACGGAAATTACTTAGATGGTAAGAACTGACTAATTTTGGCACAAAGCACTTCTTTCGAAGCTCGCTTCCTATGGGCCTCCCGAGAAATTGTGCAACTGGATCACCAGCTTTCTTGCAGATCGGAGCATCAAGGTCGTTGTAGACAGTGCATGCTCCGACTACAAGCCTATTAATGCGACAAGGCTGCGTGTTATCACCAACGCTGTTTCTTCTACATATCAATGATATGTTGCGAAGCGGTAATATTCATTGCTATGCAGATGACAGCACTGGTGATGCCTTATACACCGGCCGTGCCAATATTTCTCGAGAAAACGTCGCCGAGTGCCGTAACAAACTTGTGTCTGAAGTCGAGTATT